ATTACCTCATGGTTTGGATGTGAGACTACAGTAGTATATTTCAAGCACATGGTACAATGCCCAACCCATAGTAGACATTCAACAACTAGCATTGATTGGTATTGTAGTAAAGCGTAGATGCTTTAAAGTTATATCAATGTAGTCAGCAAGTCTAGGAGGTTTTTTAAATGAAGTATGTAACTTTATGTATATAAAGCTGCAGTCCTCAACCCCTGGGCTGCAGACCAGAACCAGTCTGTGACCTGTTAGGAACAAGATTGCACAGCAGGAGGTGAATGGGGGCAAGTGAGCCAAGTTTCATCTTTATTTACAGCCACTCCCCATCACTCGCCTCTCTGCATAAGCTCTACCTCCTATCAGATCAGCAGTGGCATTAGATTCTCATAGGAGCTGATAACCCTACTGTAAACTGTGCATGCTGGGGATCTAGGTTGCATGCTCCTTATGAGAATCTAATGCCTGATGATCTGAGGTGGAGCTGAGGCAGTGATGCTAGTGCTGGGAACGGCTGCAAATACAGATTATCATTAGTTGAGAGGTTTGACTGCACAGTAAATATAATATGCTTGAATCATCCTGAAACCATCCCCCCCTTGGTACCCCCCATCCATGGAAAAATTGTCTTCCATGAAACCGGTCCCTGGTGCCAAAAAGGTTGGGGACCACTGATATAAAGTATATAAATATACACTTACTAGAGGACCCAGAAATTTCACTCCTAGGTATTTATCTAAGAGAAATGAAAGTATAGTTAAACAAAATGGTCTATATGTAGGTATTTAGAGCAGCTTTATTATAATAATAAATGGCAAAAACTGGAAATAAATCAAATGTCCATCAACTGGTGAGTGAACATACAGATTGTGGTACTGGATGTACCCATACAATGAAATATTACTTAGTGATCTAAAAGAATGAAGTACTGATACTTGGAGTAATATGGATGAATCTCAAAAGTATATGTTTAAATGAAAGTAGCCAGACTCAAAAGACTGCCTACTGTTTGATTCAATTTCATCTATACGACATTGTAGAAAAGGCACAACTATAGGGACAAAGATCACATTAGTGATTGCAAGTGGATACCTATCCCCTTGCAAAAGGAAGGCATTGAATGTAGTGTTGCACAAGGGAATATTTTGGGTTAATGGGAATATTCTATATCTTAATCGTGATGGTTGTTACATGACTGTATAAATTTGTCACAATTTATAGGACTGTGTATTGAAAATGGGTGAATTTTTACTTTGTGTATATTATAACTTACTAAGTCTGACTTTAAAAATCCATACTTGGCTGGGCACATTGGCTCATACCTATAATTCCAGTACTTTGGGAGGCAAGGTGGGAGAATTGCTTAAGACCTGGAGTTTGAGACTAGCCTGGGCAACATAGCAAGATCCTCTTTCTACAAAAGAGTAAAAAATTATTAATACCAAGGTGTGGTGGCATACAGTTGGAGTCCTAGCTATTGGGGAGGCTAAGGTGGGAGGATCACTGGAGCCTAGGAGTTTGAGGCTACAGTGAGCTATGATCATGCCACTGCACTCCAGCCTGAGGGACATTGTCTTTAGAGTAAGACCTTGTCTATAAAAATAAATGCGTGTGTATACTTATATGATATTGCATGTATGTTTTATTTTGATAAAACTTACTAAAAATAGGACTATAAGCAGAAAGTGTCATATTTGTATAAAAATTTACCTAAAACTATGATCATGCATAGAAATCCTCATTCATTGTACACTTTGCTCAAAAAAATTTAATCCAACTTAAGACAGAGAAAAAAAAAGAGAAGCAAAGGAAAGGATTCTTAACATAAAACATGAAGTAATATGTAAAAATAAGTTTATATATCTATAATTATAGCATATATGTAAGAAGATAAATATTGTAAGTCAATACATCTGTCAATATGAATAAATATGAAAAGTATAATACTGACCAAAAAGGCAATTAATTATCTGTGAAATATGTAGATTATCACTAATATAAAGTTCAAAAACCTGTGAACAATAACATATATAATCTATGAATACATAACTGTATAGTAAAAGTATAAAATACTATTGAAAATGGTAAACCTAAATTCATAGAAGTGTTTTGCTTTGAGGCTGGGAAGAAAGGGAATGTGACTGGTGAGTGTGATATGTGGGATGGGATGGGAGATTTTAATCTGAAGTGAAATAGCAATTTTTAAAAAAATTAAAGCAAGGTTTATAAGTATGTATAAAATGCTATCAATTTTGTAGATAAGTGTATTTATTTGCAAATATATATATGCTTGTATCTGTGTGGAATATCTCTGGAAGGATATGTAACAAGCAGTTAACTGGTAATCTCAGGAGAAGGGATTTGTAGTACTGAGGGTTAGAGGTGGGAGATTTACTTTACGTTGTATATTCTGTTATACTGTTTTGTTGTTTTATTTTATTTTATTTAAAAAAATTTATTTTAGAGACAGTCTCGCAGGAACAGGCCTACACCAGTCAGGAATTGTTTGTTTTAATGCATGCATTCATTTATGTGTGTATATGCATAAATGAATGTATATAGTTTTTACTAAAGTAATTGCCAGGAATATGAGAATATGTGATATCAGAAAAATAGGAAAAAATTATCTTGTTTGCTAATTTCCATAATGTTTTTGATATGAAATTATTTTTGGTCAGTAGTATAATAGTATTGTATGATATTAATAATGAATCTAGGAAATACAGTAGAAGTAAACAGCACATTTAAATTCGTTAAGTGTTTTTATACTGCATGTAACAGATATCCTACTCAAAGTAGCTTAAGTCCCATACATCCTCCAAAAAGGATGTATCTACCCTGGATGTCCAAGAAATGGATATGGATCTGTCTTCTGGCATATGTGGATCCAGTAATACAAATGATGTTACCAGGATTTAGTTTTCTTCTGGGGCTGGTGAGATGGAGTACTCTAATTAGACAACCTGGATCTTATACCTGAGGTGATAGGGGATGAGTTTACTTTAGCCACAAGGACTAACAGTATTACTGTGGCATAGGGTAAAGGTTTTTCCCCCAAAAAAACTAAAAGCTGGCCAGATAAGCATATATCTGATAAAGTAAGGAGGTTGTAAAACCGGAAAGTTTATAATAGCTTTAAACATTGTCACCAGGGCCTGTACAGAAAATTAGACGTTGGAGATTAAGAAATTTAATGAATTGTTAGGAGGCAGCACCACAATTCATAGCCAGCTAATTGAGGGGGAGAAAGTGAAATGTTCATTATTACCTGGATCATGGGAATTTAAAGTTCTTACAGTTCCATTTTCATTACAAAAGTTGCTAGGCAAAAACTTCATTTTGGTATTTTCCTACAAGAATATTATTTTTTTGTTTGTTTGGTTTTGGTTTTGGTTTTCTTCAGAGGTACCAGGTAAAAACCTTCAAAATTATCATCTTATTTTAACATTTGCCTGCATTTAGCATTGGCACATATTTATTTAGCAAATTCTCTCTTACTTGTCTAACATTTGATATTCCTTAAATAATGCAACAGGATTTCTGAAGTTTTGTAAGTTGAATGTGATATGTCCTTTCTATGTGATTCGTTTTGACTTGCTATTAGTCACAGTGGATATCTGTTTCTTCAAAGTTACCATTTCAATCATATTTTATGGTATATTGGAAATTGGAAAAGCTGTTAATAATTATTGACATTAAGAATTAATCATCTATTTTTATTTTAAATTCTTTTCCCTAATTTTTGGGAATGTTTCAACTATAATTATAGAATATGGCATGTTAAAGCAAGCATTTAAACACCTTAAATTTAATTACAAATTAACCTCTTTAGAATTTCCTAGCCTGAGACAGAACAAATCTTAGCACAAACTTGTATGCAAAGATCCAAACCACTGCATGTTTTTATAATTCTCTATTATTAAATAGAAAAGTAGCATTGTGTAATGTTCATTTTTATTACAGTAATTAATTTTCCTATAATCAGGATTTCATGATTTTTCTTGTGACTGCATTCTTATACAAGAAAATAATTCCAGTGAAATCATGAGTTCAGCAAAATTCTGAACCTCAGCCTACAAAATTTTAATTTTTAATTATTGGCATTGGTTTAGTTTGTGAGGTTTATGACAACAGTTTGTTCTGCATTATCTACAAACACCATTTGAAGTGAAAACCTTTTTATGCAAATTAAACTTTGAATAAACAATACTAAAGCCTGACTTACCAGGACCATATGTTAAAAGTTATATTGAAAACTCTTTTTGGTGATGCTTAAAATCCAATGGGAATAATGGTGGGAAGGTGGCAAATTCTTTTCAAATTACTGCTTTGAACCCTATTGAAAAAATTAATTGCCCATGCTTTAAAATTCAAATATTATAGAATAGGAGGAACAACATTCCTGTAATAAAATATCTTCAGGATTCAGAGTTGCTGCCATTCTCCCTTTGGGGATTTTTTTTTTCTTTGCAGAAAAGGGACTGAAAAGGTTAAATCATATCTGTAACAATCAGGTTATAGTCCAGTGTGCTTTTTTTTCACATTAAATATCAAAGATGGCTTGACAACATATTTAGAATTTTCTGAGTTTTACTGTTAATAAAGTTAAAAGAAAATCTAGTGTGATCAAGTAGTAGAGCCACATTCAATTTGTATGTGAAACACCCATTGTGCTTATCTCTGCTCTAGATATTGCACTGAACCCATGTTCCACATTCTGAATTCTGTGTATAAAGTTAAACATTGCAAAAGGGCATATATCTGATGATACAGATAAATAGGGATGAAGTTTAATATTGAAAAAAGTTTCTAAATTTAATATGTTCATGTCTTTAATATTTATTTTTAATATATTTGGGGCATTTGTGAGAAATTATGAGACAGTACTAAAAATATTCATAGGTTTTTTAACTACCCAAAATTTAAAACTCCTATTCATACTGTAGTACTATATTTTAACATATGAAAACTAATATTAAATTTCTTAAAATATTATTTACTCGTAGGCAAAGTTGTTGTCCATGCAACAAGCCAGAGAAACTGCAGTTCAACAGTACAAAAAACTGGAAGAAGAAATACAGACACTTAGAGTTTATTACAGGTAAAATTCTTTTTAGCCTGGGGTTAAGTAAATACTGTTAGTTTAGGAAAAATTTCTATGTGATTTTACAATAGTGAATGAGGAAATACCTCAATGAAATTAAACATTATTCATTTGAAGCATTTTTGTATTTCTAAAATGATTCAGGCATAAAATATTTCTTATTGTACCTCTTTTCCTTTCTACATTTGGTAAAGCTGAAATTTACAATCCCGTCATAATTATGAAATTTACCGAACTCATTACCAGTTCTCTAAATGGAGCCTGGTTAGCTGTTGAACTATTTGCCCATCTAAATGCCAACTCTAAAATGATGATATGTATTTTTAAAATAGTGCATGACTAACAGTAATAACAGCCTTTCACCTGTTATAATATGATATGAGAAGTTTCTGAACGAATATCACTAAAGACTAATTTATGTTCCAGGAGTAGTTTTAAAATGAATTCAATAGTCTATTCTATCTCCTTTTTAATGAAAAGCATTAGAATAGAAAATGTCAGAGTGCATCTCCTGTGGTAAGGGTAAATATTTTTTTGTCACATTTCTATTTTAGTTTTGTCTTGTTTATGTGTGTGAGAGAGAAGATTATGTATTGAGTTATATATAAAACATTTACACAGTGGATAATGGTACAAAATAGTTTGAAAAACATTCACTGCTGCACAATGCCATGTGTATTCTTTGATTACTAAGTTTATAAAAATCTCAAGTCTCTGAAATACAAGAATTCACTAACTGGGGCTATAGGTTATTGAAAGATTTTTTAAAATTTGGACTTCACAGAATAATGTTAAAATGCATAAAATGCAATTAAATCAAAATCAGTTGTAATGAAATACAATTATGAAAGTGTGTCATGGTATATTACTATATATGTGTATCATTATTAATTTATTAAATAACTAGATCTAGCAGTAGATCTATTAACAACTATAATTTTAAACTAATGATGAGTATAAATGGCATTTTTGTGATACCTGCAAATTGTGAAATATGAGATGAAAATAGCAGTGGTTTCTATGGGTGAAAACTCTCAGGAACCACTAATATGACTGTGATTTGTTGCCTATGTTCATAATTGTAAGAAACACTGTACTTCCATGAAAATTAGTAAAAATAAAGGTATGTATATAATTTTTTCCCATCCCCAGGTTAAGAACCCCTGCTTTGGAGCAGTGTCACTGACATCTGTAGTATTTGGTTATCATTATGGGTTGAATTGTGTCCCCTAAAAAAGTTATGCTGAAGTCATAACCCCCAGTATCTCAGAAAGTGACCTTATTTATTAGGATCTTTACAGAAGTAATCAAGTTAAAATGAGGTCATTAGGGTGGGTTCTAATCCCATCTGACTGGTGTTCTTTTAAAAGGGAAATCTGGGCACAGAGACAGATATGCACAGAGGGAAGATGGTGTAAAGACACACAGGGAGAAGATGCCCATGTGACTAGAGTGATGCATTTATAAGCCAAGGGACATCAAGGGTTGTCAGCAAACACCAAATGCTAGAATAGGCAAAGAAGGACTTTCCTTTATAGTTGTTGGAAAGAGTATATAGCCCAACTGACACCTGATTTCGGACTTCTAGCCTCCAGAATTGTGCAGCATTAAGTATCTGTTGTTTTAAGCCACCCAGTTCATGGTACTTAGTTACAGCAGCCCTAGGAACCCAACAGTTGTCAAACACCAAGTATGTTTGATTGTTCACTTACTGTGAGGAATCGTTTAATTTTCAATTAGAATCAGTGTCTATAGGTGGGTATGCGGGTACACAAAACCTTGATAATGAATGTATATATCATATCAACCCACTTTTTTTTTTAGTGTAAAGTGAATATTACAGTCTTTTCTCTGTCCTTTATATCAATGATATCAATTCTCAAGTATAGCTACCATTATTATAGAATCACCTGAAGAGCTTCTAAAAAATCCTAATGCCCAACCCATCCCAGGCTAATTATATAAAAATCTCTAGGGGTGGGACTCAGGTATCAATGTGTTTTAAAGCTCCCTAGAAGTTCCTGTGTGCAGCCAAGTTTGATAGCTGATATTTTACATGCATGTTTTAGTTAGCTGCATTAAATTAGTGTATATTCTTGGTAAAATAATAAAAAGAGGCAAATATTAAATCCTTTATTAAGACTTATGAATACCATATTATTTGTGCCCTGACCATGGATGCTGCAGTGTGATGGGTAGTAGATTCACCCCATTAATAGAGAAGGTTTTTGCAGAACCTTCTTCTGTTAGCCTTGTGAGATAGGACTGCAAGTACTCTGTTGATGAAGTGACAGTTTCCAAGAATTCCAGGAAGTATATGATAATTGTATATGAACTTCCTAAAAAACAAACCTTGATGCCAGATCTTTCTTATTAAGTGTGTTGATACTTTTTATTTTTTCTTGGTATTTAAAAAAATCAGCTGTTACAGAACTGAATCTTAGAAATGTCAGGCAAACTTGTTTGAAAGAAATAACTTTGTTGTTGTGAATGGGATCTATTAGATGCCAGTTCTTGAAGCTCTTTTTGCTGAATTGCAAAAGATTATTGAATTATTTTTGAAAATCATAAAGCTACTTTTTTAAATCTATATATGAATCTAGTAGATTTATATGATCTCTTCTAAATAGAGAGTTAGCAATTATTGACTCAAAGATATGCTTCATAAGTCCTCTTCTCACTGCTACTTTTTAAAAAAATTGCTGGTGGTATTAAAAAGCTACAGGGATTTGCAGTTAGATACCCATGCCCTGTGTGGCCCTATATAAATGAAGCTCACCAAGCCCATTTCTTTTTTTAAAAACAAGAATAATAGTATCTACTTTATAGGGTTGTTTTAAGTATATTCAGTTCTTAGCATAGTATTTTGTTTATTGTTAGTGTTTCTTTTTAAAACAAAATGTCAGACCAGGCATGGTGGTTCATGCCTGTAATCCCAGCATTTTAGGAGGCCAAGGCAGGAGGATCACTTGAGTCTAGGAGTTTGGGGCCTGGGCAACATAGTAAGACCCTGTCTCTATAAAAAAAAAATTAAAAATTAGCTGAGCATGGTAGCACATACCTATAGTCCTAGCTCCTTGGGCAGCCGAAGTGGGAGGCTCTCTTGAGCCCAGGAGATTGAGGTTACAGTAAGCTATTGACTATGCCACTGCACTGCAGCCTGGGTGACAGAGCAAGATCCTCTTAAAAAAAAGAAAGCAACTTAGGAGTAGCATCAAAAAGTATGATATCACTGAAGCCAAGAAAGATTTCCAAAAAGACAAAAAACAGTCAAATGTTGCTAAGTGGTTTAAGTAAGATAAGGACTGAAGGTATCCTTCGTGTTTGAAATTTGGTGGTCACTAGTGACTTCCACAAGAGTAGTTTCAATAGGAGTATTAGACGTAGAATCCAGTTTTCTGTAAATTGAAGAGTAATTAAAAAGCAAAGAAGCATAGCAATTTGGACAGTAGAGTAGTCCTTGAAGACACTTGAGTAAGAAAAATGGCAATGATAGTTCAGAAGAAAGGAAGGTAGGTTAAGATTTTTATATTTTCTTTTTGGAAAATGATAAATACTTGAGCATGTTTACAGCAAATTGGAAGGAGCCAATAGAAAGGATTGTTATGGAACAGGATTCCAGAGGAGGCAAGAAGGGATGGAATTTAGAGTGTCTGCTAAAGAGTCCGCCTTGAACATGAAGATGTCCAAATTGTGATCCCAGACAGGAGTGAAGGTGTTAAGAATAGCTGTAAGTGTAAATAAATTTGAGGCCACAATTTGTTTCTTTTTTTTTTTTCTGTGAAGTAGGGGTCAATGTGGATTTATGAATGCGAGAGGGCAGGAGGCTTTGGAAGGAATTACAGAGTTGCTACTAAAGGAAATGGAAAGAGAAAAGAAGAGCAAGAAAAAGAAGAAAGTCAAGCAATCCTAAGAACTTAGCTGGGCATAGGTGCTATAAATTTGTGTGAGTTCTTGTTTGCACAGTTGTGTAATTTAACACGTTCAACTGTCCTACGATAGCAGTACAGAAGACAAAGGATTGCAGTGACTCAGGATTACAAATTTGCAAAACAAAAATAATGGAGGCTAAAGAGATGGTAAAAGAGTCGTTGAAATGATGAATGATAGTCTAAGCTAAATAGGTCAGGAAATAAAGTTGAAGGGACATGTAAACTGAAAAAGGACAAATCAAGACCATAGGTCTTGAGAACATAGATTAAATGTAGTGGAAATAAGCAAATTCAAGAGGTGAAAGCATAGGAGGTTATAGTCAGAAAGTGGAATGTTGCTATTTAATATTCAGAAGTGAAGCACTCAGTTCTGAGCAGTGACAATATTTGACGTTGCCTTAGAAGAGGATGTTTGAAATTAGAAGAGGCAAGGGTTACTAGAAGGAATCAAAGTCTTACAAAACTAAATTATTGAATATCCATTTAGATATCGTTCCTAAAACTATTGACATGTTGATGCTTACTGTAAGTGCCATAATAGAAAATGACCTAAAAGAAGATAAATAAAGCCTACATATTGAAATAAATAGTACCATATAGCTAAGCTAGATGTATCAAAAGATGAAACCTGTACATGTGTGGTGCATGGAAGAATGTGCAGTATCCACTCAAGAAAAATCTAAGGGAAGTTTCATCCTCCAGAGAGATCCACATTTCTGTTAAAACAAAAAGGTAGAGAGAACTTCCCTGCATTGCTCATGGGAATGTAAAATGATGCAGCCCCTATGGAAGACAATTTGGTATTTCCTCAAAAGTCAAACATGAAATTACCATATGATCCAGCAATTCTACTGCTTGGTATATACCCAAAATAATTGAAAGCAAGGACTCAAACAAAACAGATACTTGTACAGCAATGTTCATAACAGCATTGTTCACATTAGCCAAAAGATGGAAACAACCCAAGTGTCTGTCAACAGAGGAATGAATTGACGATATATATGTGTGTGTGTGTATATATATATATATATATATATATGAATATTATTCAGCCTTCATAAGGAA